TGTTAATGTCTTCTTACTTACAGTCATTAAGAACTGTGGAATTGCAATCCTCACCATTTGCATATAGTGTTTGATGTAGATGGTGTTTTGTACTATTGGATTGTAGTGATGCACACGTGGTCTTCTTACTGATATGCTTAAGACATTTTAGCTAATGTAGTGTCCTTATTTGATCTTTAATTTCGTTTGCTTTTCATACATAACTATTTGCAAACTTGGCATAGTGGATGACTAAGAAATAATGTAGCTGTTCATTACTTCACTCTGAAATCTAAAAAGCTGTGTACATGGGTTTACATTGGTGCTTAAAAGAATTCCAACTAACTTAGCCTTTTGGTATGAATCTCTTATCACCAGAAAGGGCATCATTTAGTTTGTACAATCTTGCAGTAGATTAACATGAGTTCATTGAATTGATTTTATAATAGTGTGAGGTTTATAGCTAATAAATATTTGAATGAAAATAAATATAGCTATTAGTGTGAAGTTTATGATGATCAGCACATTCCCAAAGGCTCTTGGTTTCAGAAATTACTTTGGCTCTTGCATTGGCCCCTCAACTTGCTTGACTAGAATGCCATCTCGGTTTCTACTTTTAACTAGTCCTCTCTTTGCATTGAGGTTGCTTCTTTTGCTATTTACTTCTTCTTTTTCACCTCCATCATACCATTCAAAATACCTGCACTTTGCACAACGGAAATACAACTTGTCCAGATTCTTTTCACTCTCTGATATCATCACGGTTGCCTTGCGATTACAGTGGCAAAACTTGTTTTCAATGGAGAAAGATGTGAGTGAATTCCATGATTCTCCCCTATGGCTTGAAGAGGCCATAGTTGCAGGTAAAACTTTTAACTCTGAGCTCTAAACACAGCACAACAAATTAACTTTGTTAGCACTCCAAAACTTGTAGCAAAGAATGATAATAGGTTGAGGGTGTAGAGGTAGTTAAGCTGCTTTATATACTATTGCTACTGAAACAAAAATTTGGCCATTGCAATTTGCAGCTAGCCGTTGCAATTGCTGCCAAATAACTGTTACAAGGCAAATCTTGTACTTACAAGTTTTTGTATTGCACTTACACCCCCTCAACTTTAGTAATCATTCTAATCATTTAATCTTCTTTTAATCTTCTACTAATACAAGGAGAAAAAGGGTATCCATGGAATAAAAATACCTTCTCACACATGAAAATAGTATTGTAATATGATTTGGATTGCATTGTTACCAAAAACTCAAAAGCAAGGGAGTCAGTGAAATTTTGAGAACCTCAAGGGATGTTAGTGAAAGTGTCAAAAACCTCCCCTGAGATTTCTGAAATTATCCCTAAAAAGTAATATTAGGGCACGCCAACTAATGATGTCATTTACTAGTGAATTTGGTTTGAGTATCTTGTTCTTTTTTTATTTTCTATTTTTTCAAAGAATGAATTATAAATGGAAGAAAAAAGACAATAACGGAAAATGAAACGTGGAGGGTTAAATTTTCCTGCAAACAAAATGAAGCACAACCCTTCAATTTGGAATGGTCTTATTACCTTGTTCATTGGGATGATCGCACCACTTTATTTAATTTTATAGGATAATCACATATATATACATTGTAAGAACACGAACCCCTGCATTTTGCACAATGGATTGATTCCCCAGTCCATTTGTATTTTCGCTGATCCGCATGTGCCAATTTAGCATAATATCATTTCATATCTTAATCCTATTCTACCGGTTAGCTAAAGATATTTAATCGAGTTAGATATACATGGTTAACAAAGAAAATAATACAGCTTATGTCCAAATTAAAAGGGAGATAGGTTCATTAGTTAAGAATTAAAAGGGAGACAGGTTCATTAGTTAAGTTCAAAACTTGAATTGGTTTAAGTTCAAAGTTGAACTTAGTTTACACGTAAATGACTAAATGGTTGGTTGAAGTTCAGGTACCGTTAATTTAACCAACTAAACACATATGCAGGTAGGTTTGGGTAACTGCCCTTTTGAAAATTGAAAAAGATACTGAGCCTATTTTCAATTAGGTTGTCGTAACTTAATTCTTTCAAAATTGCGGTTGCTTATTCTGTTTTTGATTTGGAATAGTTTGATTTTCTCAATTATCCACTTTTTCAGTTTTTTTTTTAAACTCTCCTAGGTTAAACACTAGTTTAGTACGTCAAATATCGTTTGAGTTGGATATATTTGGGAAATTCCACATTTTATGTCATAGAGTAGAGTTTTTAATGCACCGAACTGCTTGTGTATATGTTTCTATTTAGTTAATTCAAGTTCGGAAAAGACTCGATTATATAATAAATAATCGAGTTCAAATATAATGTTAGACTCGTTTAAAAATCAAACTGTACATAAACTTGTTCGCAAACTGCTCGAATAGATTCATGAATACATATATAGTAAATATAAAAACCTTATACATGGTTAAATATGGGCATATACACCTTATATTTTTCTCTTAAAAAAGTAATTATACTCAACATTATTATTATTATTATTATTTATTTTCGAAAACAAAACCAATTTAATTACATCTATGCTAAACAATGTATGAGAAATTTGTGGTTTCAAGTGAAGGTGTTGGATATTCCCTTCACGAGATTACACAATTTGAAATGTCCTTGATGTCAAATTTCATCATAAACTCAAAACCCACAACCAAAACCTAAAACCCTTTATGCAATTGGAAATCAATAAGAGAAAAAACCACTACCTCATTCTCCGATGATCATCATGATGGAGACGCCAAACTGCAAATGCAACATCATTGTTGGAACTTTGCTTGAAAAAGAAGAGAAGAAAAATCCCAAAAATCCTTGAACAGATATTTGATTTAGTAAAAAGAAAAGAAGTGTTAATATCTAAAATCTTGCCTCTTATACGTTATCTTGATGTCATTTTTGGAGGACTTCCTTGCCAAGGCAGTGGTGGCTATAATTCTATCGCAACATTGACTATCCATTTACAAAATGAAATCAACCAATTGTGATTCTTATGGACTTAGTGGAATGCTTCAAACCCAAATCTGCCTTTGTGAAAATTGTGGTTGACATCTTGAGGCTTGACAGAGTTTCTCCAGGAAGACACGCATTAGTGCATATGAAATGCCATGGCTAACAAAATAAACCCCATTAATACACCCAATTATCCCACTGCCTCTGAAAGTTTGGGCAGACCTAATTGATTATGGGTTCACTTAAATTTTATTACCTATAATCCAATAATCTTGGCCCCGTTATATTTTTGACTGGATATTCGGTAGGTGGATTGCTTTTTTTCTTGTCCTTTACTTTTCCTTCTCTTTCTTTCTGTTTTTTTTTTCCCTTTTTCTTTTCATTTCCTCCACCTTCCTCCTCTGGTTGAGAAGATTGCCACTACTCGCCAGCAGCATCGTTGACTAGCATTGACATTTTTTTTTTTTTTGTCAAATACCGTACACGGAGAAGGAATGTCAACCCTTATTTTAGTAATTAAACTAAGTAAATGAATGAAGAGAGGAGTATAAACGTAACTTGGGATGACTTTACATGAATCAACTCATTTTTGCATGCTGAATTCAAATATAAATTTCTTTTTCGCAAATTCTTGCTTGAAAGCAACCCACATGCATCCCAACAATGGTGGGTCTGCCCCCGTTACATGATAGTTTAAATAAATCATCTCATTATTTACAGTGAATGACACCCCATCTTCATCAATCTAGATCTAGCACCGATTTTTAAAGTCATATCAAGACTGACTCGATTGTAGGAAAAGTTTGTGCCTTCACTGGTGCCGTCGTCACCAATAATTTCTTGAATTCTTTATTGATTAAATTATATTTTAACCTCCTTATATTTGTTACTTCATAGTTTGACCCCCTAAACTTTTCGTTTCGGTTTATTTTGCGTTTTCCCATCCTTGCAAAGTACCCAGAGAGGCTACAAACCGTTGAATCTCATGTTTAGGACCTTCAACAATTTTGCTTTCTTTTTTTATGTGGAGTACACTTTCAAGTGAGAGATTACCTTCATTTCTACTTCCTATGTATGATTTAGTTATGTGATATTAGCCTTTATCAGAATTAAAGCAACATTGTTGCTTATGATGAAGACCAAACTCACGAACTTGATAAAGGTATTTTTCTCTAGGATTCAATCTTCGACCTTCCAACCATTACAAACCATGAAACTTGCAAGGACATGGCATAAGATAAGCCTCCAGAGACTCATTATATTCATGAGATTGAGTGAATATGAGAGCATAGGTCCCATCAACTATTGAAATTATAGAAGCAACACAACGAGTATCATATATATGATATAGGCTCTATGGGTTTAATAAGAATAATTACCTTGGAATCACTTATAAAAATGATACAAATTTTATACACCTCCATTGGGTTGATTGGAGGAGAAAAGATTGTTTTATGGTGGGATGAAACTGTGCCGGCCAGTGGCGGAGCCAGAAAAAATTCTCAGTGGGGGCAAAAGTAATTCTAAAATTTTTTATTTATTCTTTTTTCTAGTTTTTTAAGCAAAAAAAAAATATTCACCAATAAGTACAAATGATGTATATATTCCATGAAAACATAAAGAGACAAACTCAAAATTCTTATGTAATAATAATTTTATTTCAAAAAGCAAACTAAACAATTTACAATTGCTCACGACGAGTTTTCATATTTTGATAACAGTTTACAACCTTCTCATTTTGAATTTCACAAAGTATATTTTTCTCAATGTCAGTAACTAAGCAATAATTCATTCAAGTGTCTTCCATTTTATTTTGTAATCAATCCTTCACTATATTTATAACTGAAAAAATCCATTCTACAGTAGCTGTAGCAATAGGTAAAATTTAAGCCAACTTTAAGAGCATATAAACCAATTGGATACACAAAACTCCAAGGGACACACTTGAAATTATATGAAATTTTTATGAATACTATAGAAATGTAAGGGAGCAGTGGGGGCCCGTGCCCCCAGTGCCCCCACTGTAGATCCGCCCCTGGTGCCGGCTGTATTTACCTTCTTCCATTGCTGTTCCTAAGCTATTTTACATCCTGATGAAGATCGAGTACTCATCCTACTGAAATGTGCAAAGCTGTAAGAATTTCCAAACATTTACAGATTTCGTGGCACTATTAAAGAAAGAAAAGGAATACCAGGTTAGAATTTTCTAGCTAGGAAGGCGCAGGACACCAACCATGCTTTTGATTCTTTTATTTTTTATATTTATATGTTGATTTTCTACATCAACAGAAATTTCCAGGCTTACTTGCTCATTTCCTTTTCCCATTGGCTCAAAAATGGGAAAAAGAATTCATTTTAAAATTGATAGGAGATAAGAAATTATAGGAAAAGGAAAATATAAATGTATCTCACAATAGCGATATGCAGCAGCAGGAGCACTTCGTTGACATCTTAAGGGAGAAGCAGCAGCAGCAAGTTCATCACAATTCACATTTTGCTTGGAATTGACAAGCTCTTGCTCAACTTAGCCTCTTTCAATGCTTTATTGGTTGTGCTATAACCACCATCAACCACCAGATTTAATCCGCTTATGTACTTGGATTCGTCACTTCCAAGGTATAATGCAGCTTCCGCTACATCTTCTGTTCCCACAGTTGCCTTCTTGAGATTTGCTATTGCTGAAACAAATCCCTCTATTTCATTCCCCTTGACCATGGGTAATGCTCTCTTTAGCATTGGAGTGGGAACTCCAAAGGGAGAAACACAGTTTACTCGGATCCCATATTGTCCCAATTCCACACACAAATTCTTGGCAAGCCCCAAAACGGCATTCTTGGACGCAACATAAGAATACGGGGCATCACCAAAAGTCATTGAACAAACACTGGAAGTTATAATAATGGATCCCTTCTCAGCTGGAACCATTACTCTCGCAGCATGCTTAGCGCACAAGAATGCGCCAAAAACATTAACATCGAAAACCCTTCTAAAGTTCTCGTGATCTGTCGATTCTGTACTGTCTTGATCAGGCAAAAGGATCGTTCTGTCTGATCCATTTCCAGGAATTCCAGCGTTACTGAACATTATGTCAAGCTTGCCATACGTGGAGATTGCAGTGTCTACTGCTCTTCTTACGTGTGATTCATTCGTTACATCGCAGTGGACGTAGGAAATGGCTCCTTCGGGATTAAGCTCCTCACAAATGGCTCGACCGAGATCATCTTGGATATCAGCAAGGACGACTTTAGCGCCATGCTTGACAAACAGCCTTGCAGTGCATTCTCCAATCCCACTGGCGCCACCAGTGATCACTGCCACTTTATCTTCAAGCCTGTGAGATAAGATCAAGCAGTTAGATTTCCATCTTTGTGCTTCAATTAAGTAAAGTTGAAGGACAAGAATTGACGGTGAGCAAAGGATAACTTACCTTCGGAATATGGAAGCAGAAGGAGGTGAATTGCTAGGAAACATCCTCACTTTTTCAACTTGCAAAGTCTGCTATCGAAATAATGGAAATGCAACATCAAGATTTTATAGAAATTCTTGCCGACATCATACAATAATAGGCCTTTTTCCTTAGTATAGAAAATCGAGATGTCATATTCCAAAGATTTGTAAGTCAAAGTTCACTAATTATTGGGGACTGGAGATTGCATCATTTATGTAGAAAAGCCAATATCTATATAATAGTACGGTCTATCTAACATGCTTACAAAACACTTGTTAAAATATATTTCAAATGTCATATTTTTTTAATATAAAATTAATTTAAAAATAAATAAATAAAAAAGAAGATAGGTAAAATTAAATATAAAAATATATAAATATAAAAAATAATTATTAATATATATATATATATATATAATAGTTTAGATGAATACTAAACGAGTGCTTTAAGTGCTCCGTTAGAAAAACTCATAATATAGTACTACGTGATAATCTGAACAAAGATATAGGCAGAATCAGAAGCGCATCTCGAAAGTATTTTAATTTGTCGCACATATACCTATTTGTCCTTTTCCCATTATTTTGAGGAAAATGTCAGATCAGTATGTAGTTCAACTAAACTACAAATCCAGCCCCATGTTTTGTGCGGTCAACACTGCTATTTGGGTATGGATCCGTATCATTTACCCAATTGTCTCCTACTTCATTTTACATGAGACTGGAATTGAAGTTTCAACACAGCAAAATTTACGAGTATACAAGATGACTTTGTTTTCTCAGTTATGCACATTATCCACATTGGAGAAGTGAATACAATTTGGTAACCTATTTTTGTTTGAGGATTAAATACACAAGCCCTTTAACATTTGTCGTGTGATTTGCATTTTCACTCTTGACGTTATTTATTTCACTTTGCCACCTCTATTAAGTAAAATAAGCTTTGACTGTTAAAACATATCAGAAGTTCTAAGTTTGCCTTAGTTTCATTTCTTTCCATTCTTCTTCTTATGGCCGAGCTCTCTTCTGATCACGCATTTTTAGTGCTGCAATTTTTACCTTTAAGAACTGAGTTGCCAAATTATTTTACTTCTATTTAAAATAAAAAATCTCATCAGAAACTTCACGAAATTTGGCACCTTGTTGCTATTCACAGTATTACTCATAAAATTATTATTATCAGCCAAAGAAGGTGGGGCACAAATGTGGCAAAATATCTCTTTTTTTTTTTTTCTTTTTTCGACACTCGGTATTTGTCTATCGTACATTTACTCCTACTCCTACTCTATTCTATTCTAGGGGGATCCAACTGGACTTATGGGAAGACTGACGGGGACTGAACCACCATCGGATCAAACGTGTGCACTACACACCTATCTGAATTTTGGAGAGTCACACTTGTAATAATTAGTGGGAGGCAATTAGTGGATTTTGAACCCTTATCTCCCACTCTACCCAGCCTTAAAAATTTGACGGGCCAACTCCTCTCATGGGAATTGATTATACTAAATGTGGCAAAATGCGACGGGTGCACTAAATGTGGCAAAGTATCTCCTATATGAAAGTTGTGGACATTTAAAATTATTATTTTTGAAGGAGTACTTCGTGTGTAATATTAAGGGTCACACAAAAAGCGAGGACGAGTGCTACAAGTGAGAGAGTGAATATGTTTTGTAGCGTTTTGCAGGATTACACTTTCCACGAAGCCATCGAACTTGTGAATGGGACTGTAACCAATAATTGTGCAACATGGGCCAAAGGCTTGACAGAGAGCCGAAACCCTATACTTAGATTGTGTAACGTGGACCAAAGGTGTGATAGAGACCCAAAAGTGTGATACAAATAACTTGCTGTTCCCTCGTCCCGTTTCAATAGTCTTATTTTTTTTCTCACTCAATTTTAAAAAAATATTTAATTTTATTGACAAAGCAAATCTAATATAATATTTTTTTAAAATATTCTTATATTAATATCAGAAGTATGATTAATCACGGTACATTTACTTTAATTACAATAGCAATAATAATAGGTATGTTGCACTATTCAAAACATATATCAAAGCAATCATTGATAGAAAAGTTAACTGTATTAAATAAGATAAGTTATATTTATTGATAATGAAGTATAGTAAGTATGGATATTTTTAAAAAATTAGAAGTTAATTATATTTTTCAATTAAAAAATAGACTATAATTTAAAACGAATGAAAAAAAAAACAATACTTTGAAATTGGAACGGAGAGAGGACGTTTTATGATTGCTTTATGTGGACCAAGCTCACTGCTCTTTTATTACGCTCAAATGGGGAAAAAATTTGTTTCACAGCAACAAATCTCAAGTCCGGCTCCCGGCTGCTGTTGACAAGTAAATGGTTTTGATTGAATGTACTGTAGCATTGTAAATTATTGCTTTAAAAAACATATTGTCCTAGATGTAAAAGAATATGACCTAGAAGGAAATCTGAATAAGTTTCAAACAAAAAATATGCCCGGGATATTGGGGGGTGGCGGAGGTAATAAGAAATAAGTTTAACTAATGACAAGGTAACATACAAATGTGAACCATGGAACCCAAAACAGCTAATTAGATTTCTTTTTCTTTGATTCTAGAGGAGATTTAATGTCTTAAAAGGAAAATGTTAAAAAAAAAAACTAAGAAGGCTTGAAAGAGGTTTCGCAATCAAAACCTCTCACGTATACTCCCTTTGAAGATATTTATAAATCTTCGTTCCAAATTTATAAATCTAATTACCTCATTTTCTTCAAGGATATAGATCGTTTATTGAGTATAGGAGATATTAGACGTCGATCTTATAGAAAAAAATTGTCAATTATCAGTATGATTTGAACTCCTCTATTATTTAGATGATCATAAATAAAGCAAGTAAATTTATACTACTAACATGAAATAAAAGTAATAAAAACAGTTAGCGTTATGAATTTACTAACTGTTATTTCACTAGTTAAATGAGTTTATTTACCTTGGTTAGTTATAATTTATTTTTCAAATGTATGTGATAACTGCTTTCGTAATTATACTAACCACACTTATAACTACTCACACCTACTAACATAATATGAAACTAATTATAGATTCATTAGATCCGATGAAATTACCTGGTTAAAGCCACAAAAGTGCAACCTTACATTATTTAGCTAACCCCTCAATTTAACATTTTCATGAATTAGTATTGAATCCCAAAGTTCATTGGTAGAACAACACTTTTAGACAATCACAATTAATAGCACAAATTTAATCATAATTGTAATAACAAAAGTGCTAGATAACATGCTCAAGAAAAAACTCAAATAATCATGAAAAGATTATAGAACAGTCATAGCAAGATCATCCACACTCCCAGGTAGGGGTGTCAACGAATCGAATCGAGCTCGAATACTAGTTTGATCGAGTTCGAGTTCGACAAATTGCTTAAGGCTCGAGATCGAGCTCAAGATCGACGAATATTAGTTTTACATGCTCGAATTCGATTCGTAAGAAATTCGTGAGGATCGAGCTCGTGTTCGAAATTGCTAGAATTGCGGTCGAGCTCGTGTTCGACATTGCTCGAATTGCGGTTGAGCTCGAACTCGAGCGTCGAGCTCGAACTTGAACTCGAGTTCGAGCTCGAACCATTAAAATTGTGCTTGTTTAAAGCCTGCTGAACCAAACAATCTACTATCCCTAAGCAGAATTTGTCCTTCATTCAGCCTTTTATCTGAACCAAATCACTTTGACAGTGACATTTTCTAACAAATTTTGCTGGGGAAATGACAAGCTAGTGCAAATGCAAAAACTTCAAGTATAAATCACAATTTATGTGCAAAGTTACATCGAGACAAAATGCATATGCATCACAAAAATGGATAGACTTGATACAATCTTGAAAATGGAAGATACAAGCTTTGCCATACATCACTGAACAGCACTGTTTGGGCTTCAAATTCATCCATATGATTGAGAATCTAAGACAAACCAGCTTTAAATATCAATTTAAAGCCAAAGCATCAAACTATCAAAAATTTTGCAGCCGTTATGCCAAGTTGCCAACCAATATCCAAATCCATCCATCCATATTTTAACATCAAAACTAGCATCCAAATTCAAAGATAAGTCAGACAACTAACATCCACCAAGTCACACAAATAGAAAAAACAAAGACAAAGTGTCAACAACTCAACATTCAAGTGAATGTCTTCAACAGGCAATGTCAATTGTCAAGAAATAACCATGCTTAAAAAAGTGAAACAAATTTTGCAATTAAAGTAGTAAAACAGCAACTTCTTGTCCATTCCACAATACTCCTTTCCAACTTTCTAATTTCAACTGCAGGCCCTATCAAAAAAAAATAATTTAAGTAATAAAATAGTAGTGGTAAAACCTAAAACAAGATATTTGAAGAGGAATCAAAGTGTTAAATACAAACGATGTACCTTTCCAATTATCACATTCATTTTATGGGAAATAGAATCTCTTTTGCTGCCTTCAATTTCTGCAAAATAATAATAAGAATAAGAATAACAATAAGTAATAAACTAATTTTGTATCAATAACATGAATTTGAAATAAACTTACTTTTATCTTTTTTTCACTCCATGAATGTTTCGGCACCAATCTCCGGCACACATAAGCATTTCTACAATTTCAGGAGCTAGTGAGGCTCTATAAGAGTCAATTACTCTTGTTCCAACGCTAAATGTAGCCTCAGAAGCAATTGTAGTAATAGGAATGGCAAGGATATCGGCTGCCATCTTGGATAAAATTGGGAATGTGAGCCTGCTATTCTTCCACCAATTCAAACAATCAAATTCATGTCGCGGCACACTTGAATCAATCTTGATTGGACCCTTTTCCAAATAGATGAGTAATTCAGAGTCTTGAGGCGCTCCAGTTTGATATTCCCTCACATACTCATCAAAATCATCCCAACTCGAACCAGAAGCACTGCTTTCAGAAAACACTACTTGAAGAAACTTGAGAATCCTTTCTATTTCCACCCTCACGTAATTCATTTGCTTGCAAATATTCATTGTATAATTCAAAGACTGCATTTCTAACCTTTTCAATATTTTGCTGAGCTTCACTACGTGGAAAAAGTTTAGGAAAGCAATATTCTATAGCAGTCATTTTCTGTCGAGACTCGAAGACAGCAGCCACAACCATTAATAGATTACATTCTCTCCAATACTTATCAAATTTGAATTCATCTTTCTCACCATTGCTCTTACGAAATCATCATCATCATTAGCCTTACTATCCAAAACTAGCTTTATTCTCTTAACTTCTTGAAGAAACAAATTTGAAGTTGGATAGTCGCTACCTGAAATGATGTTCGTAGTTGCCCAAAGTGTCTCTAAAATGCTGCATACTTTTTCAACTTTCTCCTAATCTTCTTCGGATGGACAACAATAATACTATACGTCTCGTTCTCGATATATTGGAAAAACCTCTTTGAATTTGATTGCACAGTTCAACATCTCGAATGTAGAGTTCCACCGTGTCCTACAATCATGAATAAACTTTCTTCGGGGGAGTCGAAGCTGCTGCACAATTTCTGAAAATAATATTTGTCGACTTTCTCTTCGGCCCACAAAGTCAACACTATCACGAACATTTTTTATTATGTCTAGAATCTCCCCGAGACCATCTTGCACCATCAAATTCAGCACATGAGCACAGCATCGAACATGAAAAATTTTGTCACCACAAGCTAAGGGGTTACACCTCGAAAACGTGTCCTTCAGTAACCGGACAGCCACATCATTAGCTGAGGCATTGTCGACCGAAATTGTAAAAATTTTGGTCTCGATGCCCCACTCTTTGACACATTTGAATAGAGCGTCTGAAATGTGAATACCTCTTCAAGGTGGAGGAAGATTGATAAAGTTCAAGATCCTCTCTTTGTAGCTTCCAAGAACAATCAATTCAGTGCCCTGTTGTGGCGACCCCACTTTCCCCTAAGGCGAACTAGAGGGTTGGCGGGCCGTCTGCCTAACTCTCGCCAGGACTCACGCAAGCAAGCTAGCAAAAATCCTTCCGAAGTATAACCTAATCTATTACAACATCGATTCTCCCAAAATAGATCAATTTCTAAAATCACATTAACTTCAGAGATAACAGTACTATAAGATAGCCAAACGTCGAATCTTAAAATAGCTTCCCGATTACAACCCCAGAAACAAGACATACAATTCAAATACGTTACAAGCCACATACAAACCCAGGGTTTACACCTTTCCAGCTTCAAGTGGCAACCCGAAACAAAAGCTACATTGTTTAATTCAAACTACAGCTTAAAGTACAAGTAGATCTCAAGTCTTCCTCAGTTGTCAGAACCTGTAAAAGAAAACCACAACGTGGGATGAGCTACACAGCCCAGTGAGGTTCCAAGACGCTCTAACAGTTCAAATAGGTCAAGTAAGTTGTGCATATCATATGCATGATTCGAGGTTACACAATGGCATGTTACCATGAGGTGATAATCATTACACGGGTAATTGCTACTTGAAAACACATGTAGAACTAGTACTTTTGGAATGAATGGCCATATAATTATATTTTCATAAATTTTCAGTCAAACAAATAGTGGCTCGTCCAACTAGAAGAACATTACAAGGATTGCTTCATCTCAGAGGTTAATGCTCATGAGGAGTCTTACCCGAGAATGCCAACTAGGAGAGCAATAATATTATTAATAGTAAAGCAAGCACGAAAGGATACGGTGTTCCAGTGGAACTTTGTCGGTCATCGGCACCTTATAACTCCCGGATCCCACGTTGACTGGCCATCACCTTATCCCTCCAGTGGTAGTACTCGAGTATACCGAAACGGTTGTCCAGGGTTCCAACCTACCCGACCGAGCCCAGTCCTGGCTCGAGTAGGTCAGTAACCGAGGCAGGGCCCAAGTTCAGCTTATAGCTTACAACATGCACAGGAATCAAGTAATTCGACAAAAGTAAAATTCATCATTTGAATAGGTCGAGTGAGGTAAAGTACACACTCGCCTAACAATGATGGACAACTTCATATAACATGTGATTCATGATAATCAAGTAATCAAGTGGACACTTAGCACGTAAGCAATACAAGTTGATTTCATGGGAGCATATAATTCACGGATATCGAATAATCATATAGATTAGAAATCATGTGAGCAAATAGTCAGGTAATCAGGTAGTCATGTGGGTTGGTAAACGGTTCACGGTTAACGGTTAACGGTTGACGGTTAACGGTTGAGTAATGACGGTTATTTGGCAGGCATTTGCCATATTAATAGGCCATCATTGGCCATTATCCCATTTTTACCATGTGAGAGTCGAGGAGATTCACTCCAACGACGTTACTACATTTAGATTCACGAGAAAATGTTTCACGCAAGTCACCACTCGAACGGCTAGTGTGATAAAGTACACACTGCGCACTTCGATGGATCGGAACTCATTTTCCAAATTGTCACATAACGAGTCACAAGAGCACTTTAACCAAATAAGCATAAAACAAGCAGGCTAAGCACGTATTGAGTTTACAAGATCATTTGATAGGGTTAATCATTTAACCAATTCATGTCGATATGCAATGCATATATATATTTCTTAAATAGGCACGAGTATGGTAAATACTTAACGATCATGAAATGAGCATGTCCTAGACTTACTCAATTACGTATTCCTATATGGAACACTCACCTAGTCAAACAAGCGCAATAGGTCTCAAACAAGCGTTTTAGGAGTCCGCTCCGAGTTCCTCTTGGAGATCTCCTCGATTGCCTGAGCAAACAATAATTCAAGTACCACTCAATATCGCTACGAATTCTCTAGTTTTCGATGAAAATTGTACGCTAGTGCAATCTAAGAAATTAACGCGGAGACGAGCCTAAGAATTCGTGTAACTCGAGGTTCAAAAGTGGAGTTTTAAAATACAAGACAAATCTGATTTCCATCTCTGGATTCAAATGTAAAACAATCAAATGATATTGACAGAAATGAAGAGTTCGAAACCCCTTAGTTTCCTTTAAGTTAGAAAATTCCAGATTTAACAAATAATCTTTGAAAAATCATATCTTACTCTCTACAAGCCCAAAATTGAAAAACTTGGTACTATTGGAAACCTCTTTGAAAGTACTAAAAGTTCCTAGAATACACTTTTCCATGATTCAAAATGGAAGATAGTCAAAAATGACTCAAAGTTACTGTTTTGGTTCATAAGGCAGATTAAGGTTGGTTTTTGGCCAACTTTGGAATTTCGGCAAAATTCACTTGTTTGGAACTAGCTTTTGAAATTTTCAACTCTAATAGTGTTGTAATCCAAGAGTATAACAAAACAAACGGAACGAGAAACGGGGTTTTGAGCACCAAATACGGTAGCTCAAAGTTACTAAAATTCCCTTGTGAAACATGGGTTTTTCAAACTCGAGTCATGAACTTTGGTAATTTATTTGACCCATGAAACGGCCTCAGAATAACACCATAATTAGCAGTATAATACTACCGTATAAGGGTTGTTCCTCTACCAAATTTCATGGAAAAATAATTCGGAAAGGTGGTCAATCAAACACCTAAAATTTCGCAAATACTAAGACAAAACTGCCTTGACCCTTTTGTTTTTCCATTTCAGACATTTGGTCAAAGGAAAATTCCTCCAAACCTGGTTCATGGTACATTTGGTAAGTGTTTAGCATCAAAATATTCAGTTAGCAAGTCTTTGCCAAACCTTGCATCAAATCTGTCTAAAAATCAGGGTTTTCAAGGGCAGAGCAGGTTTCATATTTTGATCACAGATCACTCAAATTAACTCGGAATTTGGCATGGTTTAAGGCGTTGGAAAATACATTCATAGAGCTATAAATTTCATAGAAGAAATTATTTTGAAATTCGGCACACAACTAGCTCGAATTCGAGTCACAAGTTGCAGCCTCAGCATTTTGTTCTTGTAAAACAGAGAGACAGAACAGCCGACTTAAAATAGTTGGTTTGGCTCACATACATGGAACCAGAATGTGAATTTTATATCGTCGGAAAGGTTGGAATGTCTAGTTTCAAATGCCGCTAACGGCACTCGATTTTGACATTGGAGTTCAAAATTATGGCCGAAATACGAAAGCTGGTCAGAGCATTTCGGAAATAGTTCCAGATTTACTAGCTTTGTTAAATCGATTTATTTGACCAACCAAACCTCAATATTTTTCAATGAAACTTTGTACACCATATATTCAACATATCAACATGATATACAAGTCATGAAACTCTCAAAATTTTGCAAAAAGGGGTGCGATTAAAACAGGGCAAATCTGAACATTTTTGAACGATGCATCTTTTGGAGTCTAGACTAGCTAGGTATCATTAATCTACCTATTTAAACACTAAACTAGCATTGTATCCATCATCAATCCAAGGGAGGGAGTTCATAGAGCCCACCATCAAAATTTTCCGACACGAAATAAAACAAATAACATGTAATTTTGGCAAATAATTCCACCACAATAAATCTGTCATCGGCTAAACAGAATTTCCAGCAGCTAATTGGTCATAAAACCAACTTTTTACTCGGCTAATACATGATATTAAGTACTCAAATCCGACAAGCAAATACTTGACTAGCTAATCAGATCATCCAAGTCATTGTGGGAATTCATAGAGCCCACTCACCAAGTTTCCATTAAAACTCAAAAGAGCCACCATCGGCTAAGCTGGGAAAAAAAATTGCAGCAGCTATGTTTCAACATTTTTGGTCAATTTATCCAACGGATCAAGTACTTTACAACTGAATATCTTACAAGACTTAAGTCACATATATTTCATGCATTTCTAAACATTGTTTGCTAATGAAAAATTCCAGAAACAACTGCAAATTCTGGTTTCACTCCCTTGGCAAGTCACGTAAATTTTCCAGCATTTACTCAGTCATAAACAAAATTTTTCTTCGGTTTCAATCCACAATTCAACTTTTCCTCAGATTTTCTTCCATTAAGCTTCACTTAATACTTAAAGCTAACAATCTATATGCAATTCATAACAAAATTTTCCCATTTGACAGCAATTACAAATGCAAACAAACATGAAGTCTCTCGGCTATTCCAGAAAATTTCCAGCAGTTAAGTTAGACGCAAATCTGGATTTTCTTCAGCTAAAACCTTGTATTAAGTACTCAAAACCAACATGCATGACTAATTAATGGAAATTACTAACAGCTCTGGTTTAAATCAAGTTCGGACAGCAACTACTATCATCCACAATTCCAGAATTTTCCAACAAGTCTCGGATGAAACATGCATGTAGCAGATTTGGTTTCTTTTTATTTTATTTCTCTTGCTTAGCCGGTCTGATAATTTCACGCAAAGCTTAATCTTCTGATTTTAATTAGTCAAGCACCTACCCAAGTGAAAGTCAACCATTTTCCAGCAAATTTCCAGAAACAAGCTGCAATTCCAGCTTCAAACTTTCGACAGCTTTAATTCTTTTCCAAATCAGATTTCTTAAGTCACAAATCCTCCTCTAACCTCACAAGCACCACATGCAAGTCCATAGCTGACCTCACTTGCCTATAACCAACTAATTTCAGCTCAGAAGTTACCTCAAATGGAGCTCACACACACGGTTAGCAGCAGAAATAATCCTCCTCCCTTCGGCAGCCCAGAAAATGCAGACCACTAGCTCTCTCTCTCCCTTGCTCTGGATGGCGGCTGGAATGGAGAAAGTTCAGCCCTCAGTCCCTTCACCAGCTCACGGTTAGAAGGCAGAATGGATCGCAAGTCCCTCTCTTCCCTCTCTAGCTTACGGACAGAAAGAAAAGAAACAAGAAGCTCGGCTCTCCCTCACTCTCACTCTCGGCTTGCAGAGTGTAGCTCTCTCTCTCTCTCTCCTGGTCGATGATCACGAGGTGAGGAAGAATGGTGTGGAGTAGTTGTGGTAGAGGCTGGAATAATGAAGTGATTTGCGGTAGTGGAGGTTGAGTATATGTGTAGAGGGAAAAGATTGCACTTCAGCAGAAACGGAAATGTGGTTTGAGATGTGAAATAGAAAGAATGGTAATATGGTGCCGCGGTTTTAGGAGCAGAGGTTTCGTGTATTAGAATCGATTGCGTATAGAATTGGTGATAGTTGCGGTAATTGAACTTGCGGTCAGAGGGATTGTTTGGTTTGCATGGAATGGTAAGGTATTTTTGTCTTTTCACTCTGCTCCCTAATCTCAACTTAATTTCTCACTTCCACCTTAATTCTAAAAATTATCCCCAAGTGTGATTTGAACGCCTAATTATACCCTAATATACCTAAACCATTTTCATCGAATAAATATCGATTAAGCTTGAATATTAAGGTTCCTAGAAATTCTTATATTATTTTTCACGTAAACCTATTTTTACGTACTTAATTGCGAACAATTAAAAGTAATACTAAAAAAAATTATCCAAGAATAAAAGAAATGCAAATGAAATATACACTAGTTTATATATCCATTTTTCAGGGTTCTCACACCTGTGATCACCATATACTCGATCTTCTGGTTCTTGGACTTCCACAAATCAGTGGTTAAACTTATTTTCTCAACATCCTTCAACTGATTTTTCAATATCTTTTTCTCAGCTTCATAAATCTTCACACAATCAGCTCCATAAGTATTAAGAGTAAATTTTTTCCACTCCGGCATCCCTAGTTTCTGCATGTAGTTGAATCCCTCTTCCTCTACAAAGCTAAATGGGTGTTCATGCATCAACACCCTTTTAGCAGCTGCCTCCCTCATCATCTCCATCTCAAACTTCCCAGAATGTAGTGGAGGAATAGGAAATACAGCCGCATCAGCCGGTGGAAAATTGAGCATTGATTGTTGAGAAGCTTGTGATAATTGTCTTAAATGAATCTTTAACTGTTGCTATGTCTTATCATACTAGAAGTGGTTCCTGTTATAGTCCGGGCTAATTTAGTTAGGCAGTGAATACATTCTGCCTTTCTTTTTCCTTTTACTACAACTTCTCGAAAGTCATCCCAAGCTTTAGACTTTTTTGCTCTTTTGCCTTCTTCAGCCTCCTTTGTACCTAGCTGCCCACTTTCTCCATCTCCATCTTCTCTACTTTCAGCTTGTTGGTCATCGTTAGCCTCTTGATTTATTGTTTCATTACCTTCCTCACTAATATTGTGTGAGTTTTGAGGATCGGCTTCCATTCTTACCAAATCTTGTTCTGCACTATTTGCATTAGAGGAATCTTTCCCTGACAAGACTCGATTCGAATAAGATTCAAGTGGGGTTATGGGCTGACCTGAAAATTATAACAAAGAAATTTTAGCTGATTTTTGAATCAAAAGCTGCACTTGGATGAGAAAAAAGAGCGAATTCTAACTAGTACAGCGAATTCCATAACGAGTTCATCCCAGTAGTTGAACATTTTTAACTAATACGGTGAATTCCTATAATACAAGGAAAATTACTAATGAAGATAAAAAAGGTTATACGTAACAAACTTGAAAATAATCAAGAGGGTTAAAAAAAACTATAGCAGGCATTGCACCAGTCATAGATCATTTTAAGTTGGTTGCTTTTCTTTTTCTTCCAAGAGTTAATAAAGATTGAGAATAAAAAATAGAACGAACTAAAACTAACTTCAATGACAAAGGAGGAGATAGATATAAATTAGTGCTTTTATCTTTTAGTTAAAGGAGGAGATAGATGTTAATTGAGAATTTCATGGTTTAGTGCCTTTTCTGTATATTTAATTTCATAGTTGAAAGGACAACTGAATTAAAACTCACATGCTTGATTTTGAGATGAATTAAAAGTCTTCAGCTTGATATAACCAGAGATTAAAAGCTAATTGAATGATTTTTCCTTTTATATCAGTTAATAGAAGCCTTTTAATAGAGAATACATTTCTTGAAGAAATTTATTAACGCAAGAACTGATGGAAGTATGAAGTAAAAATTGGTTATGGAATCTGAACTCTCACTTTAATAAATGATGAATGAAAAATGTCATTTCCAGAGTTATCAAAAAATTAGCTAAGGTGCATGGAAGAGAGATTAGCAGTAGAAAGGCTGGCTGCTGCAGGGAGGTCAGAAGAGTCACAAAGAGCTGCAGCTGAGAATGTCTAAAAATGTCTAATAATGCAAATATTAAAAATTCAAGTTTACCGAAATCTCTAGACACATTATAAGCTATGTGAAAGCAGTTGGATACTGAACACCAGTTTTGCTTTGTTTTTATTCTGATATACATCGTATCAACTAGCTCCATTTTTTGTTTTGTTTTGCACACTACTGTCTTTACCACAGCTTAGAGAAATGAGTATTTAGTTTTTTGGAGGCAGTCTTTAATTGTCCTTTAGAACTAGATGGTAGATTTATTTAAAACTAGTGCTTTTATCTTTTAGTTAAAGGAGGAGATAGATATTAATTGAGAATTTCATGGTTTAGTGCATTTTCTGTATATTTAATTTTCAACATTAATCAAGTGCTATTCCTGAAATCAAAGCTCTTTCAAGTACTTCTTGTAGAATTCTTCTGCTTGCAAACAGACTCACTGCCTAGTAGTTGAAAGGATGTCTACTTAACATGACTAGTGCTAAATGTAGTAAAGTGGCAAATTTTGCAAGTTCTAGCTAATAGTCTGCTGAATAACTTGCTTTTCCTGTTTGGGGTAGATACCTTGTCATCTTGTTTTCAACTTTCATACTGCATGTTATATTGACTGATACTCACGTGAAGAGGTCCTAAATTGCATCAGGTTCATGTGGAGGCTGAAAGAAAGGCAATGCAATTGCCAGGGAATACAAGCATGTTGCATGGTCTTCCTTTTCATGATAAAATCACATACAAAGTTGCAAACAAGGTATATTCTGGCCAGTGAATATATATACTCAAGCTGGTAATTTACTTAAATAATTTCAATTTAGATGTTTAAGAGTATTGAAATGTAACTTGGGCGTGTTGTTTGACCAAGTAGACCGTTTATTAACCAGATTTTTTTTAAAATCATTTGACATGCATAGGAAACACGCTGTAGTTGTGTTGCTTCTCTGATAACTCCAGTAAAACTCAGACAAAACCAAAGTTGAAGGAAATGACACATTCAACCCCAAACATATTAATAAATCAATGAATACAAATGATCTTATTTAAAAAATATATATATAGTACCATAAAACTTCATATATCTTTCAACATCAGATGAATCACTTTAGCAGCAATCTATACGCATTTTTGTGTCTTAGTGAAGAATTGCAGCCATTCTCGGGATGGCACTAATTTTCGTTCTAGTACTAGGAAAATGAGCCTTTGTTCTTGTGAAGTAGTATTATGAAATACAGAAGGGAAGAGAAGAACTCAACCATTAGATTGTCATCTACCATTCTAGGAGTGCTAATTAAATATGCAAACGAAAAAGAAAAAGAAAGGGTAGTTACTTAAGGATAACATCTTACCTGCTGCACAACTGCACCTGCTTCAAGGTCCAAGCTTCCGCTCGCTGCACGGCTGCACCGACTGCACAATCCAAATGGGTTTGATTTGACAACAAATGGGTGGAGTTAGCAACAGCGAAATGAAACGGCTGGACGCTGGACTGCTGGAGTTAGCAACCCAAATGGGTTTGATTTGAAATTGGAATTAGGGATTGAGGTGAGGAATGGGGATTAAGGAATAGGGAATTAGGGACGGAGCCACTGAGGTGAGGAAGAAGAAAGAAGACGGCGGAGGCGGACAAGATTGAATTGAAGCTCCTTGACCTAATTAGAGTTTGATATGTGAATTTATTTTTTGTTTAAGAATTATCTGGAAAGACAAGAATACCCCTATTATATTTTGAATTTTAATAGGTAAAACATGTAATTAAGCTTACAACTATATATATCTAAGTAATTTTATAAATATAAAATTATATATATTTAAATATACCTTAAGCTCGAAAAGCTCGCTAGCTTATCGAGCATAGCATTTTTAGGCTCGAATTCGATTTGTTGAAATATTCGAATAGTTCGAGCTCGACTCGAGCTCGATTTTATTGAACTCGAGCCGATCTTTTCATCGAGCTGCTCGCGAATACAGTCGTTGACACCCCTACTCCTAGGTATCAAAATTAACAGAACATGATGAAAATGAAAACAAACATCAAATTTGTATTAACACTAAACATGAGATTCAAATATAAGAAATAAAGAGTTGATGAGATTAAACCCTTGTCACTTGTGAGCATCAATTTCTTTGTCTTCAATCCTCAATCTTCAATTAGTCTAGCTAGTACAAGAATGGATGAAAACTATACTAAACTAATGAATTAAGAAATTCCAGTGAAATGCTATATTTTTTCTAGGTTCCAAAGTTGTTAAAATGAGTCATGAACTCCCCCGTTTATAGAGTAGATGAAAGCATTAGCTTCTTGGTCAAATGAGACAGGATGTCAAATTGTACAGTTGTCATGTCATCAACCATTAGTTGCTCCTTGAGATTCTTCAAAATTGATTCTGATGAGGTTTTTACTTAATTTCAAATTTTAAAAAGCTAAATATCTCATTTTCAACAAATATACAAATTGTTTATCGAGTACAGGGGATATTAGATGTCAATCCTATAAAAAGGATTATCAACTATCAGTGGTTTTCAAAGTCGTTTATTATTTAGATGATCACAAATAGAGCAAATAAATCTAAGCTATTACATGAAACAAAAGTACTAAAAGCGACAAGAAAATGTGCCTATAATTCTGAAATTCCTATCTACTCATACAAATAAAATTACTTGTTAAATGAGTTTCTTTTCCTTGACTAGTTATGCCATAATTTCAAAATATATGTCATGCTTTTACCAATGTATCAACCATACCTATAATTACTTCACACCTACTAACGTGATATGAAACAAGTTATAGAATCATTAAATTCTATGAAATTATATGGAATAATCACAATAATGGTACCAAATTAATCATGATTGTAAAACAAAAGTTTTAAATAACTTGCTCAAGAAATAAGTTCAAATAGGCATAAAAAACTCAATTAACAATCATAGAAAATTCATCGATCCCCTAGGTATAAAAACTAGTTAAACATAAAGTAAAGGAAAACAAGAACCAAGCTTGTATTATATCAAAACAATCAATACAAGAAATAAATTGATAGAAAAGATGTCACTCTTGTCACTTAAGTTCTAAACTTCTCTATCTTCATCCTCAATCTCCTCCCTTGTTTAGATAGATACAAAAATAGGATACCTACACTAATCTACACTACTAAACTAAAGAACTAAGGAAAACTAGTAAAACTACATTTTTGTAGTAGTTTCTCTAGACTCCAAAGTTACCAAAATAAGCTCAGAAGAGGCCTATTTACAGAATATTAAAGTTTCAAGCAATTATGTTTTAAGTTGTGCAAATTATTTCTTAGAATTGCCAAAAGTTAATTCTTGAAGTCTCCATGATTTTTTGGGCAACTTCCATCAAAATTTGATCAGAAAAATGGTCCAAAAAGTTATGTGAACAAGTTGCAAGTTGCATTGTTGAAATATGAAGACAAGGGGTGGAAAATGGTTGGGTAGTCACATATTTGACTAGCATGTTGCCCTCCCCATCGGGTTTGCACTTTTCTGATGATTCTAGAAATTACTCTATTTTTACATGAATTTTAGCTGCAAATTTCTCAATGATGGAAGTTAAACTAACTCTTTCACAAAACATGAAAGTTGTAATGCTTTGAGTTACCTTTCCAATGCATCAAGAATCATATCATTTGAATGTTCGTAAGCTACTAAATGACTAAAATACCCTCAATAAGTCAAAACCTTGCTTCAAAGTATAGCAACAAAAATGCAAGACTGTATTTCAGCTTTTTGGTCATGAAAACATATGAACTAAACTTACAAAATGTAACTCTAGATCTTATATTTAACATGGTTCAAGAATCATTTCAATCCAATGCTTGTAAGTCAAGTTATAACTGAACTACCAGAATGTATCAAGGTAGTCAAACTTTTCTTCTTTTGAACTTGCTTACATTTCACACTTTTGTTTACTTGAAATCACTTCAAATCATCACGAATCATCCAAATATCTTCTCACTTTACTTCAATTGATGATTGAATCATTAAAATTTATAAAAAATATAAAGTTTAAATTACTTAAAACCATAGAAATGCAATTTTTCATATTTAAACCACAAAATGCAAAATTCACTAGAAACCTAGTTAAGTAGCTATCAAAATGACTAAAACATATAAAAATAAAATAATAATGATAGCGTGCAAAATTACTATTCATTTATGATTATTTTCCCTTGATTGTAGCCAAATATTGTTTTAATTGATGGATTCTATTTATATTTGGCCTTTGGTGCTTATTATAGGGAGGTGGAGCCAAAAAAGGAATAAAATGGATATTTTTCATTAAATTGCTGCCAAGACAAGATGATTTGGGATTCGCGCGTAGAAGTTTCCAAATCCGAGTCGAAGTCCAAGCGAGCACGGAGTTGAAGATTGAGAGAATTTCTTCAAATAGTTATTTTAATTTTTTAGGAAACAATTCACATTATCTTCGGAAGTTTTTCCTTTTCAATTAGCACATAGAATTGTTTTGAACTAGAATTTAGGAGGAGAAAAGTCCGGCTCCCGTTTGACTAGTACTTCGTAGGGCAGAAACAATGAGAGAAGAGGGCGGCTGCTTGATTTTTCTCTAGTCTTTAGTTTTCTTTAGTTTTTCTTTTATCAAAGACTTATGCGGCTGGCTTTGGAAAAATCTTGCAAATTGCTTCAATTGGCCATGCGTAACTAAGTTCTTTTTTCTAGTCAAGGGTTAACTTGAAGATGTGGTTCCAAATATTTGTGAGATCAAATTAGTTTTATTCATTTCTTTTATTCATTGGTATTCGTACGTTTTTTTTGTTTAACTTTTTATGATTGTTTTGTTATTTGAATGTCAAGAGATCGATATTCGAATTAACCTAATAATCTACTGCCAAATTAATCGGTTAAATTCGTAATTATTGGATTGCTTAATACCAGTGGTGACTAGCGTGATTGGTTCCATATTAGAGAAACGTATGATCTAATTGAAACAAACCCTCGTAGCATGTTTATTGGTTAGGGTTAGACTTTTCAAATTCTTAATGTAATCGAGAAATTAAATCCTGCGGTCGTACCTAAGATTATTTTTTGGTTAGGGAAATAATTAGCGATCGTACCTTGGCTATCGAAAAATTAAGGTAAAGTTGGTTGTTTATTGCGTGTATAACCATTATAACCAATCTATTAATAAGTAACTGAATAATCATTGCATTGATGATCAGTTGAATGGATCGTGTATGAAAAGTTGCACATTTCACTAGAGTCGTATCTACTATTGATTAATTTCTATTTATTTTCGTTAGTTATTTTATTAGTTGGTTAATTAGTTACTTTTATATTTTCTAAAATTTCCCCTATTTAGGACTCTAGAAGAAACGAATTATCCCCAATCCCTATGGATTCGACCCTACTCACTGCTATATACAAAAATTATATTTTTCTTGAGTAGATATTTATTATTGTACAATCTCGACACCTGTCAAATAAAACACACTAAAATCATGCAAGATAAATACTTCTCTGATTCTACAAGCCTTCATGATTTCTTACGCAATTTCCACCAAAATTTGATTACAGTAAACATTTAAAAAGCTGTGTGAAAAGTGTAAGTTGCAAAACTGACTCGGTGATCCGCGAGCGTACCTAACGGATCGCCTCTCATGCAGTGTTTTGAAAACCGGACCGGACCGGCCGGTTCAACCGGTTGGATCGCGAACCGGCCATGGCTCCGGTCCGATTCTATGCTATAGTTGACCAGGTTAGAAAACCGGTCAAAAACCGGTTAAACCGTGAAAACTGCCGGACCGGATTGAACCGGCGGTTTTCGGTTTTCGATTTTTTTTTTTTTTTTTTTTTTTTTTTTTTTTTTTACGTTTTGCAAAATGCAACTATCAAGATTCGAACTCAAGACCTTTGTAATAAAAGACTAATGTAGTAACTATTGCACCATCACATCTTATTAGTTTTGTTTTGATAACTTATTTATATAAAACAAAAACTCATATTTCTTTTTTTCATTTTTTTTACAAAATCTAATTATCTCATGGCTCTTTCTTTTTAATCTTCAACACACACACACATACTCTCTCTCCTCTTTTTTTTGTCACTCTCTTTTTAATCAAACCACTTTATTTTTAATTTATTGATGTTTTCTTCCATCTTTTAATTTTATTTTTGTCCATTAAATTGAAAAAGGTTAAAAAACAATTATTTTTCTTTAACTCAAATTATTTAATGCCACAACCACTCACTTTTATCTCATTTTTTATTTCTTATCAAGTTTGCATTTCTATTTTCGATTCTCTTGACTTCTTTCGAACTCCAAAATTCCTTTTTTAAATTACAATCTCTAAATCCCAAAACGTAAATTAAAATTTTAGTTCACAAAATCTAAATTCTCATAGACATGAATTTTGTATAATTTTAAAATATTATGATATTTTTGGGTTAGATCTAAGATTTTTTTGGTAGATATAATTGAAATTGAAATGAAATTTATTTGTTTTAACTTATAATTTAAAAATTTTATTTTTAAAAAATCAAGTTATTCAAAAATAATAAACATTTCATCATATAATGTATTAAATTAGTCCATTATATGTCTTATTTTGTGCATAAATATTTATATAAATTATTTTTTTAAAAT